CCCAAAGCAATGGTGGCACAGAGCCCTGGTGGCTTTGGACCCTGTGCCAGCAGCCCCACCTGCCCTCTCCTGGCTGCAGCAGTGGGCTTGGGGTAATGGAAGCAATTTCAGTGAATCAATCACAAGCCCATGTTTTATTAAGAACTCCAAGAGGTCTGGGTCACTCTGAAACCACAATACTTGCAGCTCTGTGTCTCTGCATTCCACGTGCAGGGTAACAGATCCGCCTGGCTGCTGCAGGCTCTGCTCACCTGGCTGCCAGAGGCTTGGGAGGGTCTGTGCACTGAAGGTGTCTCTCTCTCGCTGCAGAAGGACTCGGGAGAGGCAGATCTGAGCTGGGGTGAGCCCTTTAACCGTGAGCATCACACAACTGCTCTGTTTGTGTACGGTGCTGGTGCTGAGTTAATCAAAACACATGTGACTCCTCCTGCCAGGAGGCATTCAAGGTTACATTCTCTTTACTGGCTTGGCTTTTGAAAAATATAATCGCCTTTGTGCTCTGAAACTGAGCAAACACTTCAGGAGGTGCAGGAGCAGCAAGGAAACCTTCCCTGCTTCAGCCAGGCCAGTCTGCTCAGTTTGTGCCTTTTGGTGCAAGGCTGTGGCTGTAATTAGATCAGTTTGGGGCGTATCAGGTAAATCTCCTCTGAACAACAGGCTGAAGATGCAGCCTCTGGGAAGGAAAGTCTGGTCCCACTCAAACACGTCAATACAAACGTGAGCTAAACCCAGCCTAGCCAATGAAATGAAGAAATGAGGCTTTGCAGAGCTGGGGGCTCCAGCTCCAAACCCCTAGACATCTCTCACACTCACACTGTAACACTGCTCATCATTTCTCCTTCCCCACCAAAACTTTCTTATTATCCTTACTAGTAAAAATGAACAAAGATTTTAAGCTCATGAAATATTTTGCAGGATTCCCAGAATTTCAAAATCTCAAGCAGTAAGTACCCACCATTCCTTCTACATGAGTCAGGGCCCTGTCTACACTCAACAAAGAAGTTAAATATGTAACTTCAGGGCAATGGCTTTCAGCATCATTCCCAACCATTCCTCACACAGCCTTTCAGCTGTGCCCTGCCTCCAGCTTCAGTGCAGAGCTCCTGGCTCAGGATGGTGAGGGTGGGAAGGAGGAGTGCTGACACCCAGCTGGCACAGGCAGGAGCCCCAGTGTGCCACTGGCAGGCCGTGCTGGCAGCAAAATCCATGTAAAGTCCCAAAGCAGGACACAGAGACACACACCCAGCACAGGGGGCTCAGGAACACCCTGGGAACCTGGGCTGGACCTGCTTCTGGCCCAATCCAGCGTGGAGTTCATCACTCTGAGGCTTTGCATCCTCAACTTCTCAGTGTAGTGCAAGTGGACTAGAGCACTAATAGCGAATCTGCATCACAAATTGCTGAAATTAGCATTAATTTCAGATTAAGCTAATTATGCATATGCAACTGTTTTCCAGAGCACTCTCCCCTCTCTCCTACAACAGCGTGGGCAGGGGTGCACGTGTATCCCAGCCTGCTCACCTCATCTGCAGTTTGACATTCCATCATTTCTAGTGTATCCACCTTCTAAATAGGTTTATAATTGGAAAAACCAGCTTTGGTATCTCTGCTGAACTTCATTTTATACCCCATTGTGCTGTACATCCAAACTACAGCATTACTTCTAATTAAAACCAACAATAATTCATGTAACAGGGGAAGTGATCTTGTTAACAGAGCTGCCAGGCTTCTTTGGCAGAGCACACACCATAAGAATACTCCAGGTTTTTTTTTAGTTTTTTGCCTCTGGGATCCCCCTAGGAAGTTCCAAAAAGCTATTAAAAACCCAACTGAAATGTGATGCAAAGACAGGAGGAGAAAGGCAGTGTTTAGTGAGAGCTGCCAGGCTGTGTGTGCTCCCAGGGAATATCAGAACCATCCTGCTCCAGGTGCTCTGCACAGAGATGGAGGAGCTGAGCTGGGCTCTGGGCTCCATCCCTGCACTGGAGCAGGGAGAGCAATCCCCAAAGGCAGCTGGCTTTGGGTGCCACGTACAGCACGCTCAAGGACTCAAAATAGGATTTCTGCAGGACTTAAACGGAGCAAATACCTTGTGCCTGACCCTGTGTAAGCTCTGTCATCCTGTGAGAACTGCTCAGGCCATGGAAGGGACGGGGGAATGAAAGAGCCCTTTAATCCAAACACATTCCCAGGGGTAAATCAGCTCCCCTGATTTCTGGGAAAACGCACATGGGCTGGATTCTCCCAGCCCATTCAGAAACCAGACCTGGTCCCTGCTCTGTTCCTGGATTTTGGATACCTCGGGTTCTGCTGTTCCTGCTGGGAGGGTTTTGGTGCTGTGGCATCAGCAGGAGGCAGAACACACAAACTGATTTTTCCAATACAGATTGGACTGGCAGCAATTGCCAAAACCATCCTTGGAGTTCCACGAGCAAACCTGGCCAGGAGCCAAGCAAAGCCCTTCTTGGTCCATCTCTGCAATTGCTGCAGGGTTAAAGTGCCAGGGTTCACCCCCAGCCCCTCACTCACCCACAGGCACAGGCAGGTGATGGCAGCCTGCCC